CAGTGAAAAGCTGTAATATCTACAGGAAAACCTAGAACGCTGAAGGAAGAAATCTAGAAACTTTAAGCAAACGCCGTCCTCCAGAAGAAACGTTAATAAGAACGTGTTACTGCTGAAATATACTAATCAAAGCACCTCTCAAAGAAAGAACTAGAAAACCTTGCAGCAAAACAACAAATACACTCTCTTGAATGTTCTAAGAGTCCAGCTCTGTATAGATTAGAAAGTTCTTTAGCTCAGCAATCTCAAAACCTTGAATACCCCCATTATACATATATTCCCTGCCTGTTTAACTTTCAGTTCGAAAGCAAGGAATTGCAAGTAGATAAATAGGTACCGCTTCAGTGGTAAGGTAACAGCATTCCGTGCGCCTCGGTGATTAGTCATGCCGGCCACATGACCACGGAAATGTCTTCGGACAGCGCTGGCTCTTCGGCTTGGAAACAGAGATGAGCACCGCAACCCTAGAGTCGGACTCGACTGGCTTTCGAGCAAGGGACACCTTTACCTTTACTAATCTGCCTCAAGTGCCATTTCACAAGGGTTTATAAAACAGGACAGGTCCTCTCTTCCCCTCAAGTTCCCTGTGCTGGGTCTAAAGCCTAAACCAATATCAACAAAAAAGGGTGGAACCGTTTCAAGTTTATATCCACAGAGAAAATGTACAGCTAACGTAGGGCAACTCAGTCACTGAGGGGAACTGGAGTTTTGGCGGGGTGGGGTGGGGTGGGGGAATGACCAGACGGTTGGGGAGATAACAGGGGTACATCACAGCAGGCAACTGGCTTTCTAGAGAATAAGTGGAGCTACCATCACCCACATAGCTCCTCTTACCCTTCGAGTAAGTGCTAACCAACGTGGCAAAGTTGGCGATGAGAGTGATGGGGGAGAAATCGGAGATGTCGGCTATTTCCAAGGTGCGAAGGAGGGACTGCAGCCGCTCAGCACAGAACCTGGGAAGAAGAAGAAGAAGAAGAGATTGGATTTATACCCCATGGCCCTTCACTACCCAAAGGTGTCTCAGAGCGGCTCACAAACTCCTTTCCCTCCCCCTCCCCACAACAGACACCCTGTGAGGCGGGTGGGGCTGAGAGAGTTCTTGACAGAAACTGCTCTTTTTCAAGAACAGCTCTTATCAGAACTACGGCTTGCCCAAGGTCATCCAGCCAGGTGCAAGTGGAGGAGTGGGGAATCAAACCTGGTGCTCCCAGATTAGAGTCCGCGCACTTCACCACTACACCAAACTGGCTCTTCTGCACCAACCCCAAAGAGGAGGAGAAGAAGAAGAAGAGATTGGATTTATACCCCGCCCTTCACTACCCAAAGGTGTCTCAGAGCGGCAGACAATCTCCTTTCCCTCCCCCTCCCCACAACAGACACCCTGTGAGGCAGGCGGGGCTGAGAGAGCTCTTGACAGAAACTGCTCTTTTTCAAGAACAGCTCTGATCAGAACTAGGGCTTGCCCAAGGTCATCCAGCCAGGTGCAAGTGGAGGAGTGGGGAATCAAACCCGGTTCTCCCAGATTAGAGTCCGCGCACTTAACCACGACACCAAACTGACAAGAAAACAAGAAGACAGTTCGGGGCTCATTGGAGGCACCACAGACAAGACCAAGGACTAGGAGATTCGGTTCGGCCACCTAATTTCTGCCCGCCGCACCCTTAAGTGGCAGGCATTGCATTCTTGACACCTCCGGGTTCTAACGCAGCTGGGGCTAAAGGCACTAGTGGGGAGATCCTAGAGAGAGACCCCCATTCAATCCTAACTGGCTTGGCGACGAGCTTGGGGGGGGCAGAGCCGAGATTCAAAATGGGCCGTTGCAAAACTCTTGCTTTAGAACCGGTTGGCTCTAGAGGCAAAATGGAGCCCCCAAACCTGTCAGTGAGCTCCTGGCGTTAACGTTATGAGCGAGCAATCTGGCTGCTGCCTCAATCAGTTTGCTCTGGAGCCCTCCTTCCTGAGCTAAGACAAAAATGTGTGAGCCAGAGGCTAAAAAAACTATGAGCTAGCTCACACTCACTCAGCTTAGAGGGAACACTGGCTGGGACTAAAGGCTAACTGGCTGCACCAGTGGGGGGATCCTAGAGAGAGATCCCCGCCAAATCCTAACTGGCTTGGAGACGAGCTTGGGGGGGGGGCAGAGCCGAGATTCAAAATGGGCCGTTGCAAAACTCTTGCTTTAGAACCGGTTGGCTCTAGAGGCAAAATGGAGCCCCCAAACCTGTCAGCTTCTCTGGAGGGAGAGTTATCGGAAGGGGCGCGGGGCCTTTTTGCAAGCGACTCCTCCGGCCCGAAACCTGGCCCTGAGTTCAATGCTCAGTGCAGACAGCTCCTCAAATGCCACCCAGGCGCATGAGGTCCCAAAGGGGTGGAGCGTTGAGGAAGGGAAGTGCCATCACCAGAGGCGGTGCCCCCCCTCCCACTTACTGGAGGGGTTTGCGTTCAATGCAGACCTTCTCGAAGACATCCTTCAGGAATGAGGGGGGGCTCTCCTGGACCACGTGGTGGACCCGCAGGCGGGACTTCAGGTACTCCAGGAAGCGTTTCAGGAAGCCCAGAAAGTGCTCCGCCGTCCGGATGCTCCCCGGCACGGCCTCTGCGAGGAGGGAACCCAAAAGACACGCCGTTCCCACCAGGAGCCAGACAGGGAAACTCCCTCGGCACAGGGAGAGGCGACAGCCACGCCCAGAGAGTCCATCTCCAGCATTCAGATGGATCGCCTCTGACCATGGAGGTTCCACTTCGCTGCCATGACCAACAGGGATGCCATCCTCCAGGTGGGACCTGGGGACCCTCCGGAATTGCAGCTCATCTCCAGACTGGAGAGATCGGTTCCCCTGGAGAAAAATGGCTGGAGAGGGGGGGGACTCCGTGGCGTTGTACCCCACAGAGGTTCCTGTCCTCCCCAGCCGTCATCCCCAAATCTCCAGGAGTTCCCCAACTTTGTGGCAACTCTACCTCCTCCATCTCCCACTGGTGGCCAGGGAAACCTGGCAAACCTACTAACAGACCTCTCCTGCCTAACCCTTTCAAAAAGCTGCCTGTTAGACATTTTGGCAACTCGTCTCCACAGATGTTAAAACCAGGGCAGGGTTGCTCTCGTCTAATCAGCTGCGAGAGTTGGGACCATAAGGAAGGCCAAGGGCCAAAGAATAGATGCTTTCGGGTTATGGTGCTGGGGAAGACTCTCGAGAGTCTCCCTTGGACTGCCAGGAGATCGAATCAGTCCGTCCTAAAAGAAATCAATCCTGACTGTTCCCTGGAAGGCCAGAGACTGAAGCTGAAGCTCAAATTCTTTGGCCACCCAATGAGAAGGGAGCAGGGGTCGTTTTCTGCAGGAGCGCACAGGAGTGGAGCTCCGGCAGTAAGGAGCCCAGGGGGTGGGCACATGCCCCGCCCCCTGCTCTCAGCAGCCCTCAGTCAGAGCAAGAAGCAGCCAGGTAAGTTGCAGAGCTCCCCCCGACCCCCCGACCCAAAACAGTCCAGTGACGCCTTTAAGACCAAGGTTTATTCAGGTACAAGCTCTCCCTCCTCTGCGAGGACAGATCTGCAAGTTCCTCCCCCCCACCCAATAGCTAGCAATCCAAAAGAATCCAGAGGAGCCTGAGCGGTGGGTGTTGCCTTCTGTCAGGGGGTGTGGCATATGCAAATGAGTTATGCTAATGAGTTATGCTAATGAGCTCCCACACCTCTTTTTCTACGAAATGACCCCTGGAAGGGAGCCCTCGCTGGAGAAGACCCCCGATGATGGGGAAGATTGAAGGTGAAAGAAGAAGGTGGACGGCAAAAGGTGAGGTGGTCAGACAGTGTTATCGAGGCAACGGGCATGAAATTAAGCAAACTCCGGAGGAGGACCTGGCGTGAGGTGGCCCATGGGGTCGCGAAGAATCGGTCTCAACTGTGCGACTGAACAGCAATCAGTGCCAACAAGGGAAAGGATCACAAAGAACGACTCTCGGCGTCTTCAAGCTAAGATCCTTTCCTGAGGCCCTGCTCTCTCTGCCCACCCACAGAGACAGGACTTTTTCAGTGGTGGCACCTCACCTCTCGAATGCCCTCCCCCTGCTGGCCAACCTGGCATCTCCCTTGCTTTCTTCCACACGCCAGGCCTCCGTTCCTCTCGACCCAGGTTTGCAGCTGAGGGTTTCCTCTTTCTGTGAGGTCTGAATGGTCAGCTCCTACCCCGAGTCCTGTTTACTTTTTCCCCACCACAGAGAACAATGGAGGGGATGGGGGCAACCTGTTTGGGGGCCCGTAGAATTGGATCCCCTGGTCCAATGTTCTTGAAACCTGGTGGGTATCTTGGGGAAAGGCTCCAGCAGCTACCCTGTGGGTTTGGAGCCTCTCCCTCAAACCCCATCCTCTCCAGACCCCAGAATATACCCTATGTTTTCGCCATTGACTTCAATGGCCCATAGGATATAATGGGGCCGAATTGCCACCGAAATTCGGCGGCAATTCGGCGGCCACCTCCATCTCCCACTGGTGGCCAGGGAAACCTGGCAAACCTACTAACAGACCTCTCCTGCCTAACCCTTTCAAAAAGCTGCCTGTTAGATGAACCGAATGCACGCGGACACAAACAGAAACACACAAGCACCTTGGAGAACCTCATCTGGCAACACCGGATTGGCCATATAGATGTCTGTTTCCCGGGCAATGTTGGCCTCCTTCAGTCCCTCCACCAGACGCCGGTACTCCTCCTTCAGTTTCTGGGCATCTGTGTCCTTGATCCTGGATACAGGGGTGTTGGGGGATCAGCTGCAGGCACAACCAGGGGGTGGGAAAGCACGCCAGTGGGCAGAGCAGAGCATATGCCAGAATGCCTGGGGAAGGGAAGAAGACCCCAGAAAAAGCAGGGAGGGGCAGGGAATGCCACTTTCTGGGAATCTGGTCATTTATGCTAAAGGAGGAGGAGGAGGAGGAGGAGGAGATTGGATTTATACTTCCCCCCTTCACTTGGAGTCTCAGTAGGGTTCCCAAGTGCTTACCACGATCTGGTGGGGGAAACATGCTCCCCGGCCGCACCATTCCTCCCTGTAACGCACCATGCTGTCGCAAGGAAGTGACGCCAGGCGACGCTCTGGCAATGGGGCTGGTACCATCGAGTTTCCAGCCCCATTGCCAGAGCGTCATTCGGCATCACTTCCTGGCGACGGCATGGTGTGGCGCTTGTTGTCCCCACGGGAATGATCCCACAAAGACATCCGTGTTCCCCGCCGAATCACGGTAAGTACTTGGGAAGCCTGAGTCTCAGAGCGGCTTACAAACTCCTTTCCCTTCGCCTCCCCACAAAGGACACCCTGTGAGGGAGGCGGGGCTGAGAGAGCTCTCTCCAGAACTGTCCTTGAGAGAACAGCTCTGAGAGAACTTGTGACTGACCCAAGGTCACACCAGCGGCTGCATGTGGAGGAGTGGGGAATCAAACCTGGTTTTCCCAGATTAGAGTCCGCGCACCTAACCTCTCCACCAAACTGGTTCATTGCTAGCTCCATGGCTGCCAAACTATGCTCAAAGGTATGAGGGCAATTTTACCTTTCCCCCCAAATAGCTATTATCCCACTTTTCCACGTAAGACAGGCTTATGTTCCAGAAGCCGGGGGGGGGCAGTAGAATTTAATTTCGATTTTATTGGATTTAAAACATTTATCAGCCAGCTGGAACTCCAGGCAGCTTAGAATATAAATAAAGCGATTATAAAAGTGCACAACAAAAACAATGCGAATAGAACGACAGTTATAAAATTGCGTAAAAGGTCGCCAGTTTAAAAACTCCAGTTAGGAGGACTGCCGATAAATAAAAACCAAATCAGTCAAATGCAGCCTGGAGGCCTGGGCTGGCAGAAGGGGAGAGTGCCTCGCTTAATTTGCATCACAAAATTAGGCTTTTCTTGCAGCAGAATATCCTCATTTTTAGCACACCCAGCTCTGCCCCAGGGGACCACGAAGTGGGGTGGAGGAAACCCATCTCACTCACTTCTGGATGGTGGCTTGGAGCACGGCTATGTTCGCCTGGCAGCGATCCAGCGTCTTGCGTGTGACGTTGACGCCCATGGAGTCGATGCAGACGTTATCTATGGGTCAAAAGGAGGCAATTGGGTGGGACTCAAGCTGCTCCAAGCAGGTTTACCCCCACACACACACACAAACTGCAAGTTACTAGCTGACACGTCCCCAAACACTCAATAATCAGAGACATCTCGCCTCGGAGTGTGTGCGTGCGGATGTGCCGTCAAGTCACGGCCAACTTATGGCCACCCCAGCAAGGGGCTTCCAAGGCAAGGGAGAAGCAGAGGTGGTTTGCCCTTGCCTTCCTCTGCAGAGCCTTCCTGGGTGGTCCCCCTTCCAAGTACCGACCCTGCTGAGCTTCCAACTTATGGCCACCCCAACAAGGGGCTTCCAAGGCAAGGGAGAAACAGAGGTGGTTTGCCCTTGCCTTCCTCTGCAGAGCCTTCCTAGGTGGTCCCCCTTCCAAGTACTGACCCTGCTTAGCTTCCAACTCCAGCAAGGGGCTTCCAAGGCAAGGGAGAAGCAGAGGTGGTTTGCCCTTGCCTTCCTCTGCAGAGCCTTCCTTGGTGGTCCCCCTTCCACGTACCGACCCTGCTGAGTTTCCAAGATCTATATATACTATGCCGCCTCCCCTCCCTGCCTCTGAACATGGAGGGTCAATTCTTAGTTGGCCTGTAGGGTCTTTCAAAGCCCCTTACACAGCTTGCCAGGTTAGCACCCATTGGGTGGGTGGCTGTGAACAGTGTTACCTCTAAGCTGAGTTAGTGTGAGCTAGCTCACAGTTTTTTAGCCTCTGGCTCACACATTTTCGTCTTCGCTCAGGAAGGACGGCTCCAGAGCAAACTAATTTATGCAGCAGCCAAATCCGCTCGCTTACGACTTTAATGCCAGGAGCTCACGAAGTAGAATTTTTGCTCACAAGACTCCAGTTTAGAGGGAGCGTTGAGGTGAAGAAACACAAGAAATGTTGTCGAAGGGTTTCGCGGCCGGAGTTCATTAGTTGCTGTAGATTTTCCAGGTTGTGTGGCCGTGGTCTTGGCATTGTAGAACCTTCTACAATGCCAAGATCACGGTATACAACCCGTAAAATGTACAGCAACTAAAAAAAATACAAGAAAGCATGACAGACACATTTCCGCAGAGACCCCCATACCGATATTGTGAGCCTCGTCAAATACGACAACAGATTTCTTGGCCAGCTCTTTGGAGACCAAGTTGGCGATCTTGGGGTCTAGGAGATAATGGTAGCTGTACACGACAATGTTGGCATGGAGGATCTAGGGAGAAAGAAAGAAGCGGGGGTGAAACAGGCGCCTCTTTCCCACAGGCCCGAAGCTTGTGTGTTGGGATTGGACTGGGAGTGGCCTTCAGAGGAAGCTGCCCTCCAAAACACAACAAAGTTTCAGCCCTCTCCTCCCACGGGAACACCGACACGGATCATCAGCAACTCCAAGCAGGAAAGGGGACACAATTTCTTCAACAGAGGCAAGCTTTCCTGTTTCACAGGAAGCTTCAGCGCGCAGAGAAGAAACGGAAGATGTTAGAGCCAGTGAGGTGCAGTGGTCGAGAGCACTGGGCATGTTCTGGGAGACCTGAGTTCGAATCCCCACGTGTGCCACGGAAGCCCGCTGGGTGATCTCGGGCCAGTCACACTCTCTCCACCTCACCTACCTCACAGGGTTGTTACGAAGGTAAAATGGAAAATGACGTAGGCCGACTTGGGCCCCCAAAGGGAGAAAGGTGGGGTACTCATGAATCAAATCAAATCAAATAAATAAGATAGAGCATCTTTAGAGCTGTTTGTGAAGCTAACTAAGAAACTTAACCATTTTCCTCACGGGTGATCCAAATCCTGCACCATGCACTCACGACGCACCTTGAATATAGCCATCTCATTTTTAAAAAAGAATGTAGTCCGGCTTTGCTACAGTGGGACGTTTTGGGGACCTTCCCCCTTAATTAAAAGCCCTGCCCCACAAATAGCCAGGCCAGAAATCTTATTTTTGCACGTTTCCCAAAGGCTCATGGGGATGCTTTTGAAAGACTCACCGTGACCTCGGTGGTCTACAGAAAAGCTGGGCCAGCAGAAAGGGGGATTGCTGGAGATCTATTGAAGGTGCCACTCTTGAGTGCCCTTCTCAGCTTTCTTGCCCTGTAGAGGGGAACCCAAAAGGAACTGAAATGCCTCCTGAAGGCAATTAAATGTTCTCTGAGCTGGTTTTTTTCCCTAAGAACTGATGCGCTCGCCGCTCTGTCCCTTCAAAGGAAGGGCTAGAAACAGGCTTGGAGCCTCTGCTTTTAAAGACAGGCATTTAGATTAATTAAATTAACTATAAGTTAGCTGCCCCCTTAAAAATGTAAATGCCCCCCCCAAAAAAACAAAAAAGATCCTGGGTATGGGCCTGCCATAGTCATGAAAGCTAGAGCCTTAATGTTTTCCAAAAGGAGCTAAATGAGAATCTTACGGAGTAGCCGTCGGCAGCCACAATGATATTCCTCCATTTTCCTATCCTCCAGCAGATGCTCACCCTATGCAGTGCTTTCCCCTGATGCATGTGTTAATGTGCCTTTCCAGTATTCGCACTGTCCTATTACTAATGAAGCTGGATCTACGTAAGAAACCCTGTGACCAAAAAAATGGCGGCGGCGGCGCTGTGAGACGGGTGTGCTTCTCGGGATTCCTTCCCCTCCCCACAATAGACACCCTGTGAGGTCGTTGGGGCTGAGAGAGCTCTTTCAAAGACGGCCCTTGAGAGAACAGCTCTGAATGAACTTACAACTGATCCAAAGTCACACCAGCAGCTGCACGTGGAGGAGGAGTGGGGAATCAAACCCGGTTCCCCCAGATTAGAGTCCGCGCTCTTAACCACTACACCAAACTGGATACCTCCCTCGCCTGTGCGTTTGAAAGCCACAGTGTGGTGTAGCAGTTGCAGTACTGGAGTGGGGTCTGGGAGACCCAAGTTCGAAACCCCACTCTGCCATGGAAGCACCTCGGGTGTCCTGGGGCCTCTCACGCCCTCTCACTCAGACCTGCCTCGCTGGGTTGTGGTGAGGATAAAAGGCGAAGCAGGTTAGCTGCGTTGGGTCCCCCTTAGGAAGAAAGGCAGGGTACGAATGACGCAAATAAAGCTCAGCGCCCCCAAGCGCATTACCGAATATCTGGCGAGGAAATATGGGCACCAGCCTTTCTGCCGGCCGTAGGTCTTCAAGTCATCCAAGTTGTACACGCCGTATGGAAGGGGCACTTGGCGGCCGTGGGCCTCGAATTCCTGCCGGGGACAAGCGAGGCAACAACACAAAAGGTGAGCTACATAGTAATGAGGTCAGTAAACAGGAAGAACTGTGTGTCAGCATGACACCATCATTGCGAGTCCGTCTCCTCTGCTGCCCACAGGAACAGCTCCCTGCCCTCCTCTGAGTGACCGCCCTCCAAATATTTCAAGAGAGCCATCCTGTCCCCCCTCAACCTCCTCTTCTCCAGACCCAACATTCCCAAGAAGTCCCTCAGCCTTTCCTCGCAGGGCTTCTTGTTCTCCAGGCCCCCGATCATTACTGGGGCTATAAAAAGAGGCAGGGAAGCCTCACTCTGCCCGACACCCACTTTGAGCTGCTGCACCCCGTACCTCG